AAGGGTCTAAGTGGAGAGGTTCAGACCACAGATCACACAAGGACGTCAAGTGGGAATGCTCCGTCCAAATTATGCTGCCGCATAATTCACTTGCATCCCTCTATATATAGGACACCTCCTACCTTAGTTCTCCATCCATTTTCGCAAGGGCTTTACCGTCTCCAGACCCACTCTGTGCTTACATTTCGTTGATCACCGGAGAGCCTTTCTTCTACCATCGTATAACAATTAAAGTGGTTTTGGACTATAGCCTTCGAGTGCTTTTGGTTTATTCTTCTTATTCTCTATCTCTCTCTCTCTCTCTTCTCTTCCTATCTCTCCGCACACAACACGAGTTTATTCTTTTTTTTTATAATATATTTCCAGTCGTCAGAAAGTATGTTTTTGCCAACCTAAAAAGTTGATGTTTAGTTGCTTGCTTGGGAGGGTGGTCACCGATTTTTCCCTCTGTGAATAGTGATCAAAAAAAAAAAAGATAATTCTATTTAAATCACTACCGAGTACCCGAATTTTTCGTCATCTGCCATATATATGTAATTAATTCCTTTAGTTCTCGGCTTGATTCTATGGTCATTCAACGAGGTGGATTATTAATTGTACATAAATTAATTTTTAGTAATAATTTTAAAATTAAAAAGTTTCTACTTATTGTATGATTGACTTATATATACAAAAGTTTAGTCAATTTTCTGCAGGCTTTTTTTTGTTTTTATATCTATAAAAAAAAAAAATAAAAATGCTGATAATGACCAACGCCTAGTGTATAATTATTCAATAAATGAAGAATAAGATTTATTATCTTTTAACTATTTACTATTTTTTTTTTTCTTTATAATATACTGTCTTCCTATATAACATATTTCTTTAGTTGTTGTTGTTGTGCTTAATTAATTTAGTTAAGAGTTTACAAGGAAAGCATATTCTTCTTTCTTCACTTCATTCATGAACTTCTAATACATAACATAATAGTAATGGTTCATCATTACTTGTTTAATCCAATATTCTTAATTCTGATAAATGTCAGGCAACCTGATTTCCTTCTTGGTCTTCCTTGCCCCCGTGTAAGCATCTCAACTACCTCACTTATTTTTGGATTAATTAATTTTTTAATTAGTGTTAATTAACATAACTAATCTATATGTCCAGGCCTACATTTTATCGAGTGTATAAAAAAAAATCCACAGAAGGCTTTCATTCTTTACCCTACGTAATTGCTCTCTTCAGCTGTATGCTTTGGGTCTTCTTCGCTCTGGTGAAGACCAAAGCTATTCTGCTCATCACCATCAACTCTTTCGGTCTCTTCATCGAAACTGTATACATCGTTATCTATCTTATTTACGCTCCAGTAGGAGCTAAGGTACAGATTTAGAAATGATTAATAAGTTAATTAGTTAATATAATTAGCTTTCTGGATGAGGTTAAAGTTTTAATTATTGATAGAAATGCACTATTCGGATGGTTTTCTTCCTCAACGTTACTTTGTTCAGAATCACTCTCCTGGCTTTTCATGGACACAAGCGCTTGATTGTACTTGGGTGGATCTGTGTTGCAGTCTCTGTCTGCGTCTTTCTTGCTCCTCTGAGCGTTATGGTAATTAAGAAATTATTATTGTAATTAATAAAATTTTTCTACACTATATTAAGATATATAAAATCATATTATTGCTTAATTTTTCCTTGCAGAGGCTGGTCATCCGCACAAAAAGCGTGGAGTTCATACCATTCAATTTGTCTCTCTTTCTAACAATCAGCGCCGCAGTTTGGCTGGCCTACGGTGTACTGTCAAAGGACAAATACATTGCGGTACTTTTTTTTTTTTTAATTAGCGCTATCTTATTTAATAATCTTATTATTCAGATGGTAATTATTTTCAGTATTAATAAAACTTAGTTGAATATACGCTGAGTTGGGATAGTCAGCAGTTATAATTATTTTATTTTCCTTAATATTTTACAGGAATGAATTTCAACTGTAAGACATTTTAATTTAAAAAATCGCGTAAATTATTGAATTTATTTTAAATTAATATTAAATAAATGTAAGCTCAACCAAACTAATAATTTACGGAGTACTGTCTTTAGCAAAATTTGTCTATTAATACTATTTAGATTATCTGCACGATGTTAAAACTACAGAGGCAGCTAGCCAAGTAGGGAAAGAAGAAGACAATTAGTTTTGCAAACAGTGAA